AGTAGGAGTTTGGTACACAGAAGTAATTGTCCTTTATAGTCATTATCTGCTCAGATCAGAAAGTGACATCTTGCTAAGATATATATATCTTAACACAATCTAGTGGAAGTAGAATTTGGATCCGACAGAAGTGTCTTAACACAGTTTTCAGGGGTGTTGGCTGTAGCTGTGTTGGTCTAAGGACATAGGCAGACAAGGTTCTTTGGGTAAATGTGGTATCTTTTATTTGACCAACTAAATAATTGGAAAATTGCTCTTTGCAAGCTTTCGGGTACAAACACCCTTCTTCTAGTATAGGGAGAGTCTGGTGTTGTTTTGTGTTCTCCTGGATGGAATAGAAGCCAATATGCAAAATACAGGTCTGTGAAAATACAAATATGTGGCAGTGAGGATCAGAAGAGATGGGAGGCAATAGGTGTGAAACAGGTAGGTGGTTGGGATGGGGAAGAAGGGAATGTTGACTTGGTAATAGACCTGGTGATGTAGCTGGTAAAATGTAGAGATGTTACTTGAGGTTATTGGATGGCAGGCAGGTTATAATATAGCACAAATCCAATGTCTATATTTAGTTCATGATTTTTTGTATCCAGTAGATTTATGAAGTGAGTTCATAGGCTCACCTACAAAAGATGTTTTGTAAATGCCCTTTGAGGATTGAGAGATTGGGGAGAGCGTGGTTGTCTTGTAAAAAGTGTGCACCCGCAGGTAATTGGGTATTTTTGCCTTTGATAGATTTTAGGTGTGTGTTTATTCTAATATGCAGTTATGGTTTGGTTTTTCCTATATATTTTCCATCAGGGCATTTAGTGCACTGAATGAAATATACAACATTTCTGGAGGTACAGGTGCAAGATCCAGGAATGGTGATAGTTCTGTTGTGGGGTGTAGTTATTGTAGGAGTGGTGAAGATGTGTTAGCAGGTTTTACATTTCTTGACATACATGGTCTGGATCCATTCTTTTGAAAATGTGAATTAGGGTACTTGGTCATTTAAATATTTAAAAAAACATTAATTGCCCCCATCAACACAAAACTTGACAGAGAGATGGATTTCAAACAGATCTGGTGGAATGGGTAAAGTTTGCTTCTTTGTTTCCCAAATTGCCACACATTAAACATTAATAACTAAACAAACTGCATTGTAATGCCATTAAGTTGCTATACATATATGCACAACAAACTCACAAACACAAGGAAGTGAAAAGGTAAGGTTCGCCTTTTTCCTAGAGATGCATTCATCACATTACAGTATTTCTACACCACAGACCACACACAATAACCTTAATCCTACCATGCTTTGACTACCCTTCTGAATACAAACTTTATCAATACCTTTTCTCAATGTAGCCAACTACTACACCAATATCCAAACCTAGTACACAGAGAATGGAGAAAAGGTGTCTAAATTAAGAGGTAATGGTCAGGTGTATCCTTAATTATTACCAAGGGTGGATTTTAAAAACAGGACCTACATTATGATGAGTGATGCCAATTGTTCTTATCTGATGATAGGGCTTTGGGGATCCACCTCTTTATTAAGTATTTCACTGGGTATGTCTACATGCGCGCTTTAATGCACATTAGCCTATTTCAATTCACATTAAAATGTCACAAAAAACCATGTGGCAATTTTACACATGCAAGTGCCGCAGCGCCAAATGCTTTGAAAAGCACCTGGCACTGCGACGCATGCAGTTGTATAAGCAGCAAAATGCGTGACAGCATTGAGAAAACGGCGGCAGCGCACTTTTGAACTAAAATACAATTGGAAGTGCTTTAGTTCAAAAGCGCTCTGCCACCATTTTCTACATTCTGACATGTATTTCGCCGCTTATACAACTGCCCGTGGCACAGCACAGTTCGCCTTGGCTTGCATGCGGAGCAGACTCGATTAATCAAGTCTGCTCCCAACCGGCGGATCTCCAGTGCGTCATGGGACAGAAAAATGTGAGTATAAATGCCCATGCTCTTTAGCTAACGCACATTAAAATAGACTAACGAGCCTTTTTCTAGCACCTCACAATGGAGGTACTAGATTTAATGCACATTTCCTAAAGCGCATTAATAAATGTGTAGACATAAGTATATCCTACCTCACTTTGGACAATGTACTGGTAACAATATATCAGTAACAGTATCATTAGCAAATTAAAGTAGTAATTAAAAAATATATCTTGCTCCTGCATGTTTGTACATAAGATTAGAATTATTCTCCAAGACAAGCCTCAACTAGTACAAGCAACATCGTTTCTATATGCTTGTACAGTAGAACCCAGGTCATTTGCATCCAGGTGGTTCATAACTTGCTTATGCTTCAGCAGGTTGCTGAATTAAGAATGATCTGCTAAGATTTTGTTGTGGTTTTTACTTCAAGGGGCCTGGACATGCCCCCCCTCAGCTCAGCACTGTGGAAAGGATGGGGGGCTGCTCTAGCAACCCCCTACATTCTAGCCTGAGCCCCTGCAGGCATGTATCAGTATTTCTTCAGTCCAGAGGGGATGTCTGTGTGGTTACAAACTGGTTTAGCCTACCCAGGTTAGACTAGCCTGCAAAGATTGAATTAATTCAAGGAACAGGCTGCAAGCAGATCTAGACAGGTTACAGGGGTGGGCCGATGAGAATAGGATGGGGTTCAACACTGACAAGTGCAGGGTAATGCACCTGGGGAGGAAGAACCAGCGGCACACCTACAGGCTGGGGAACTCCCTTCTCGCCAGTGTCAAGATTGAAAACGATCTTGGAGTTGTCATTGATGCCACAATGAACATGGGCCGACAAAGTGGGGGGGGGGTCAGGAAGGGCAACCATACCTTGTCATGCATCCACAGATGCATCTCAAGCAGGTCCAAGGAGGTGATCCTCCCCCTCTACGCAACACTGGTCAGGCTGGAGCTGGAGAACTGCGTCCAGTTCTGGGCGCCACACTTCAGCAGGGATGTGACCAGTATGGAGAGGGTCCAAAGGAGGGTCACCCGCATGATCAGGGGGCAGCAGGGCAGGCCCCACGAGGAGAGGCTGAGGGACCTGAACCTGTTCAGCCTCAACAAGAGAAGGCTGAGAGGGGATCTAGTGGCAGTCTACAAACTAGTCAAGGGGGACCAGCAAGCATTGGTAGAGTCCCTGTTTCCCCGAGCACTCCCAGGAGTTACAACAAACAACGGACACAAGCTAGCGGAAGGTAGTTTCAGGCTAGACATTAGGAGGCGCTATTTCACTGTCAGGGCGGCTAGGACCTGGAACCAACTTCCAAAAGAAGTGGTGCTGGCTCCTACCCTGGGGGTCTTTGAAAAAAGGCTGGACGAACATCTGGCCGGGGTCATTTGGCCCCAGTACTCTTTCCTGCCACGGCAGGGGGTCAGACTAGATGATCTCCTCAGGTCTCTTCCGACCCTACCAACTATGGAACTATGAATTCAGGCTCAGGCTTTATGAATGCCTGCCCCAGCCTAAATGTCTGGCAAACATCAAACAGGGCCCTAAACAATTCACCCAGAATCCCTCTGTCAGCTACTCTCTTAGCCTGGCACATACTTGTGACTTGTGACAAAAACACCTGGTTGCAGTCATGAGTGGGGGGGGGGTGCTAATCAGCACATGGATCCTTTGGGTAGGGGTGCGGGGGAGGGAAGGCTGGAGTACACACACATACTGAGCCAAACTGAAATGTGGGGTCACCATGGCTTGACTGTTGACTCTGGTAGGGCCCAGCTCAGTGAACCATATGCTAAATCATAAGCCTTCTGGCTTTGGACTAATATCATGCAAAGTTTGTACTATACACAAATGAATGTTAAAGTACAACTTAAAAGTGTGTTTATAGACTACCTGTGCTAAAACTTGCAGCAGTTTCAAAAGAAGGTAAAATGCATCAATTTTGGATGAATTAAGTCTATGGGTAGTATATGCAAATTGCTATAGCTACGTTTATTCCAGAGTCAGTTTTTTTCAAATTTGCTCATCACCTCCATGTGCTCAGGGAGAGCAGGGTCGAAAAGTAAGGAGAAGGGGAAGGGGTTGCACAGGGGAAAAGATGGTGAGGCAAAGAGGCTACCTGACCCCCCAGATTTATCTTTCTTGCTGTAGCAGTGGGAAAGAGACAAATTCAAGGCAAACCTCCAATAACTAAATTCTATATATGGAAAATTATATCAATTTTATCAATTTCCCATATATAGAATCTAATAACTGGGGGCCATCTTATAATCAGGGTCATCTTATATTCAAGCAAATATGGTATATTCCATTATCAGTAGGAAGGATTGGATGGTCTCTTCAAATCTCCCAGTGCCATGTCTGTAGAATACCCTGTGATGGGACCCTGAGTGCAAACTCCCCATGCAGTAAGGTATCTAATTAAAGGAAGCCAAATTTCAGGGATAAAAAACTCAACTTTAATACTTAGAGAAAACACTACAATAGAATCGGGGAAGACAGAACAGACAATAAATGTTCAAAACACACTACTCCTAACACTTCACCCTCATACCTGGCCCAAGCTTATTTTTAAGTCCACATCTGGTTCCAGTGGCAGACAGTCTGTCTCTGCAGCAAAACTCCCCCTCATCCCCAGAGGTCTTGGCTTCTCTGCTGGCCCTCAGCAGGCTGCCTCTACCCTACCACTCCAGTCTTTTCAGCCTCAGTCCCCATGTGGCAGACTCCCTTTGTCTTCACCCTCTGGGGCTTCACATCAGCAGACTTCAGTATGCTCCAGCAGGCCACAGACTCACATAAGCAAGCACATACACTCTCCTGCTTCCCTTATTATATCCCTCTACCCAGTTTCTAGAAAGAACTGCAGTTCTCAGGAAAGGAGACCTTCCAGCACCATCCTAGCAGAGAGCAATAAACTAGGCCACAACCAGTCTCTCTCTAGCCATTAACCCCACCAGAACAAAACCCATCCAAACCCCATCCCCCCCGACTTTCAACAGGGAAAATCAAAACAAACACTACAACCACACAATTGTCACAAATACAGATAGAAAGGAAAAGACCCATACATTTATCAATGTTTGAAGATGTCCACGATAGCTGGGTCAAACCTGGTGTGAGAGCATCATCAATTTGTCCTATAAATGGTTTCATCAGTGGTTCCAGAATAGTTGGAATTCCATTTAAAAAATTACTGTAATCAACCAAGAGATCCTGAAGCCTGAAAGATATTAGCACATTTTTTAAGGTTAGCAGTCATTTTCATATTTCTTTTCAATACATTTAAAATATACATAGCTGTAAGTATACACACACAACAAAAAGTCTGTACATTTTGGATCAACATTCAAAACAAGAAACTATACCTAATTTAGCAAATTAGGAGCCTCTTCTTTCCTAACCCATCCTAAAAAAAAAAAGCTTGGAGAATAGATTTGCAATGATTGAATGTCACTGATTTTGAGCATAAAAGTACCAAAGGGAAAGTGTGTTCCAATCTAGAACTTCAGATCGAAAACACTCTATACACATTTGTATTTATGTATTTGATTGTTCTATCCTAAGTGCAGGGCTGTACTTTGCCTTACTGAATTTCATCACCTTTATTTTATATAATTTCTCCAATTTATCAAGGTCATTTTGAATCCTATTGCTATCCTCCAAAGCATCTGCTCCCCCAAACAGTTTGGTGTCACCTGCAATTTTACTGTCTGTGCACTTACATCCATACTGCAAATCACTAATGAAGATATTTAGTTACGCCAGGCTCTGGACAGATCCCCAGAGAACCCCACTTGGTAGCTTCTTAACTGTTGCAGCAGCTCTAACCTAGAGTTATCCCCATACAGGAATTAGAGTGTCGTTATAGCCATAGCTGTCCAGGAAATTCATGAGTGACAGCAAGGGGGGGAGTTGATATCTTTTAGGCCCCTTCCAGATGTTAATTTAATTGCAGGATGGGTTCTGAGAAATGTTATTCTGGGTCCCAAAATTCGCATGGCCTATTATGCCACGTTCAATGTCTGACATGAAAGGATGTGCAATTTTTGGGATCTGAGATAAAATTCCTCAGATCCCATTCCAGGTATGCTGGTATGCTGAGAGGCCAAATGCTCCCTGATCTTGAGTTCTGTGTGCCCCTGGTTGTTTAAAGCTCATGTGTGATGCCCAGAATTGGGGAGCTGCTCCCCATGAACCCAGACACTTAAAGGGTGTGCGTGCAAATTTAGGAAAATCTGCAAATGAAAACAAAATCCAGAAAGTGTTGACTTACTTCATCTGATGTGTTTTAATCTGTTCTTCTTCTGCAATCAAGCCAACCAGAACATCTGGAACTTCAAAACTGATTTTTTTCAGGTATTTTGTTTCATAAAGTACTTCAAGGACCATGGAATCCAAATTCACAAATAATTCCTTCACATGCCATAACACAGACAAAAAAAGAAAGCCATGTGAACAAAGGGTAACAGCTTCAAGTTCATGTGTAGTATAATTTTTTTGGAAAACATATAAAAGGTAGCAAAGATGACTGGCTAAGATGTTGAAAACATGAGTTTAAATTTAGGATAAGATCCTATTCCACTTTATTCACCAGGTAGATACCTGACTTCACATGTATGCATCTGGGTGGGTATTAATCCCGAAATTGTAGTCTGGTAAAAATGCTCTAAGTGCACAAAGTGACAAAAATGCTAAGTAATCTGAAATATTAGGCTCTAATCATCTTTCATGAGGTCCAATTAGCAAAGCATCCAGAATGGCATATTTTGGCCATTATGTGGTACAGCTCCTAATCTTTACAATATGGGCAATAATATTTTCTTATCTAACCAGTTGTAAAGGCAAATTCACTAAAGTCTATGAGGTTCTCAAACAGTGATGATGATCATGGAAAACCCTTTGAGGTAGTTAAAACTGCATATCTGTTGCAAATGTAGGTAGCATGTTACAAATAACACAAGAGACCAAACAATGAATGATAAGTTTAAAAAATAATAACTATCTTCTTTGCTGAATACTGTTCCTTATGTACAATGAATGGGTTTATGAAAAAATACGTTGTGAGCAAATCCTGCATTGTAACATGCATACAAAGGGAGGAAAAAATTAAGATTACATGGATTAATTTTAGAGTGCTTGATTTAGCAAACTTGTTGATATTCTTTTAACATAGTTTTCTACCTGTGTATGTGATATGAATAATATAGCCTACTTATGATAAATGATTCAACTGTTCTTCAAGAAGTAAATCCTATGGACCACTCTTCTATTTATTTTTATTTTTATTATTTTTAAACATCTTTACCTTGGTTTCTGGGTGTCTGACTAGTAATGAAGCATGCAGTCCATTCTTAACTTGGTCAGCAGACTTGCACCATACTCTGTGATAAAGGAGTTCATACTCTAATAGAACTGCAGCCATTTTGTTGTAGCTTTTAACAACCTTCTTCATTTCTGGAGTCTATAAACCATAAGAAATTCATTTTAATAATGTTATATTCTTATAATGAATTAAGTTGTGTCCTAGGACATACACTCACTACAGCTGATAAAACAAACTGAATGTGGACCATAACATTTAGAAGATGAGAGAAAAAAAAAAAGAATTGAGAGAGATTTAAAATTAAATGAAAGGAGTATTTTAAGCCCTCTAGTGGTAACATTTCTTTCTTGATCATTGCCATCATTGTGTAGAGAAATTCTACACTATAAATGGAGCTGGCATGTGGAGTTTCATGGGAATCTGTTTCTGTTAGGGAAAGCTAGGATGGCCGTCTGTCTTCAAGGATCACATGAGACATCTTAGTATTTCCTGTCACTAACCATACGCCTATTGGATGTAGCAGGCAGAATCCTGAATGTGTGTACACGTGGCCAATGAGAAAGCCGGCCCAGCAGCCATGATGGGGAGACTCTTAATGGCAAATGGGCTACTGTTGAGGAAGCTAGGGAGTGAGCCCATAGAAAAGTTATTGTGGAAGAAAAGAGCTAGTTGGGAAAGGAAGCTAGGCAGAGTCTGATAAGGATGTAGTTATACATTACCTTTTCAAACGTGTTAAATGCTGTTAAGGTAGGAGAGTTCACACATTAAGGTGGGAAAAGATGAGTACCCTCTGAACATCTCAGGACCTTGTTACACATTAATTTTAGGTAGCTCCTGGAGCTCTTACCCCTTGGATTTTCCACACATTAACACCTGAAACTAGTTACACCACTCTAGAGCAGATTTACCTCTAATCTGTGGTACCCAGCTCGTGTTCCACTAATGTGTGCCCACACCTCACAAGTGAGTTACCCAAGTTGCAGTCCTCCAGCATCCCAGGATGCAGTATCTCCTCTCCCACCCTCTTGTTCTGTGTGGACAAACTTTCCACCCCTGGACTCAATTATCTAGGAGACAGTTCTGGTACCAAGCCAAATCCCCCTCCTACTCGCAGGGGTGTGACCTTCCCAGCCCCAAGGGTGCAACCACATGCAAACGCCTGCAGAGCACATGCCAGCTAGCTAAGTCTCTGAGTACAAACAGGTCCAAGAGTGGAGTCTGAGGGGGGTGAGGGAGAAAAAAGTATGGGCATGATCTGGAGTTTCCTTTCAAGGGTAGGGGCAGTAGCTCCCCCAACAGCACCTTACTTCACCTCTCCCACCTCCCAGCCACCCCAGGAAGCATGACTAGTTCCCCCCCTCCCCCCATATCAATCCCAAATTCCAATTTATTAAAATATGAGACCTTCTTGAATTTACTTCTGTCTTATTTCTTTTTAAATTCTTTTTGTTTTACTTTTTATTTTATCCTTTAGCTCAGGGGTGGGCAAAATGCGGCCATGGGGCTGGATGTGGCCCGCCAGGCCATTCTATCCGGCCCACGGGGTCCCTAAAAAATTTAGAACATTAATATTTATCTGTCCTGGGCTGCCTGTCATGCAGCCCTCAATGGCTTGCCAAAACTCAGTAAGTGGCCCTCCACCCAAAATAATTGCTCACCCCTGCTTTAGCTGCTGACTTCCTTTGTTTCACCACCCTTCCTCCACCCCCATTTCCTTTTTATCTCCCATTTTATTACCTGCCCTTACCCAATAATTCTCCACCTCCCAGTTCCAAGGCCCCCCATCCCAACCAATCTCTCACACCCCCCCACCTAGAGCAGGGATAGAAGCCTATCCTGGCTCAGGAACCCTGTAGTGGCAACTCACAGCTGTAGTTCCTAGTCAGGCCCCTGCTCATCAGCCCTCTAGTGGCAAGTCACAGCTGTGCAAGTGGGGGACAATCAGAGAAGGTTTTCAGCCTTATGGTGTGACTGCTCCAAACTTGAGAAAGCACCATCACCAATCAATATTTGAGCAGCTTGAAGTGCAATGTGTAACAAGGCCCACGAAGGTAATCTTCTTCAAGCAAGAATTCTGGTATTAGGCAGCTTGTGTTGCAATAGTGTCATTCTGCTCCACAAAGCTAACATCAGAAATGTGCAGTCCTCCAGTATCCCAGGAGGCACCATTCCCAGTTCTCCACACATGGACTAGCTATCCTCTCAGACTCTTATGCCCTAGACTGATAGCTGTACATGTCAGAGAGGGTTTTAACTCTTAATGTGTGACTGCTCATAGCACTTGCTAACTTTAACACAACCTAACATTCCTTAGAGTTATCATGTGTTACCTGTAATGTGCAAAAACACCGAGTAGTGGCAATGGCGCAAATAGTGGCAATGGCACAAAAGCAGTGGTCCAGTAGGAGAATGGGAGTTACAGAGGAGAGCTGCAAGAGCAACTAATTTCATACTATTCACCAGAAAATGCAGTGCAACCTGGGATGGATCCAAATCAGGGCAGAAGAGGTAGACTAAGTCATTTAGTGGGAAAAAAGAGTAGAGAATGATGCCAAAGCCTGGAATACCAAGGGAAATAGCTGTAATGAGCCGCAGACAAAACTCAGGTAGGCTAGTAGGAGACATTAGAGTCTGAGAGTCAGAACTAAAAGTTGCAGAGGCTTAGAAGTATGAAGTAATAAAAATAAGATACAGTACTGGTACTTGTTTGAAGTTTAACATAAATTTCTACCCTCCACCTGTTAAATTTCTAACCTGCAAAAGCGTGGTTTTCTTTTTGAGGATTTTCATCGGATGTTCTATTTTTCTGAATAGTTGCTGAGCCCACATAATCTTCCCAGTTACCTGAAAATTAGTGAGATTTAAGTTTATATGTCCATTAACAAAAACCAGACATAAAAGTAAGAGTTTTTTCCTGTGTCATTAGTTTCATTCTCTTACAGGTGGTATGTTACGAAGGATAGGCGGATTTTCCTTTTGCTTCTGGTAGAGTTTTCGAACCAAGTCTAAATCTCTGCTGTATCGCTGAAGGACAGTTATATACTTCTCATTAAGATCAATGTGGTCTTTACCTAATTGTTCAAACTGGATCAACAGTCCCAACATCTGTTCAGTCTAAAAGAAGAGATGGATATTTATAGTAAATGTTCCATCAAGATGACAATTGTTTAATAAGTTGTAGTCATTGTGTGTCTGTAATACTTTCTATTTATAACTGATTATATTATTTTGAATAGAGAAAAATCTGATCTAAATGGGACAGTCAATTCAATTCCCATTTACCTTATATTTATAATAGTGTGAATTGTTCAAAAAAGGCCTTCATAGGATAAAAGGTGACATTTTATTTCCTGCAGACACTTCCCCAAATGCTCAATCTTATTTTTATGCATAAAAATCTGTGCTTTGGGTATAACTATGCCCTCAGAAAGTTTTTGCTTCTGCAAAGGAAACAGTGTGGGCAGAACCTGGGCATCAACTATGCAGATATTGGGATCTGCCCAGATGCCCTGCTTCAGTGTAAGGGCCCGAAACAATACATGGTACCAACTTTAACAAAATGGTTGGCAGTATTGATTTCAAGATGTAGCAGGGTGAGGGGTAATAAGGGGGAGGAAATCCCTTGCTCGCCCTCTCTCATTCCCTGCCATTCCCTGTGGCATGCGAACAGGCAGCCAGTGGAAGTTATTAGCACGGCCCCAAATAGGCTGACCATAACCTAGCAACACAGAGAAACCCAGGAGAGCCTTGCGAAGCTGCACGGGAGAGGCAAAATTCACCTAAGATACCAGAAAGCCAACAGCTGGATAACAAGCAGGCTGGCTGGCAGCCTGGGGAACTGATGTGAGACTAAAGATAGACTGTTACCTTCCAGAAGGAGGTGAAGAGGACATGGAAGTTCCTAGACACTGCAGACCTAAAGAGATGGTGAGTGTGTGGCTCCCAGATTTTCTGCTGTTGTTTACTTTGCTGAACTTGTTTCAATTGTCAGTATGGAGGTTATTGCTGGAGTGTAGGGGGAGGAGGAGCTCCCACTTGCCATTGCTCTGCTACAGGTATGCAGAGTGCCATTTGCACGTTTACAGTACCAGTTGACTAAAGAGAGTTTTCTTTGTTCGAGGCAATATTGAGTTTGGGGCCAACCCATTTTCTGGTCTCAGACACAGAGTGAACTCAGACTATAAACATACCTGTTCCCCTTAAAGGAGACTGTGCTAGGACTAATGATAGAACTGTTGAAGGGGAATAAGCAACCCAATTGACTGTAATATAGTGAAAGGTGAATCGCCTCCATCTGTACTCATGAAGCAAGTTGTGGCAGGCAAGAATACAGAGGTGGGGATCACCTACAGGCCAAACTGGGTCAGGAATAACAATTCACTTGCACCCACCTGTGTCCCTTTCACAAACATCCTTTTTGATTTGGTAAGAAGAGCACTTGAAATACTACTGAAAAAATGTTCTGAAAGAGCCACTGATTAAAACTTTTAAAACTGAACACAGGTCTTTTCTTTTTTAATAAGCTGGATTTTAATTGCTTAAATTTATTTTCACCATCTGATCTTCAATAATTCTTACACTGAAAATAGCTGGGATAAAAAAAATAATTTGGAAACAAAATAGGCCCATTCTATAATAAAAACGAAAAGCATGGCAAGATGTTCAAGAGGGATTGCTGCAGCTTAGCTCTTCCAAAGAATAAGACATACATTTTTTACTTGCCAAAGTACTTACAGTTAAGGGTTTCTCAAACCAGGACTCCATGAATTCTTGGACTGTCTGGTACAGAGCTTCAGTTTGCTTTTTAAATTCAAGATAATCTTTTTCAAACTGGAGAAAGGAAAAAATGCAATTGGCTATATTTTTCCACTGACTTTTAAGTGAAACCACCCTCTTGCATTCTGGCTGTAAAAGCTTGGACAGTGTCTCTTGAACAAAAATGCAAGTCGGTGGCTGGGGCAAGACTGGGTTGTGGTGACAAGTCTGCTACAAGAAAAATCAAGTCTCCACGATGGCTGAAATCCATTAAGGCACAGAGACAGGGGAGCTTCAGGCACCCAACACCAGACCCAGGTCATAAAGTAATAAGAGTGATGGTTCCTCTAAAAGGAAAATTGTTGGCAGAGACCTGACACACTCATCATATGTGTATCTCCAAGCTAAGACAGCAAGAAAGTGGCTACGCCAACGTAACTGGAGAAGGCAAGAAAACGATATACAATATAAAACTACATAGACCTTAAAACTTCATACAACCTGGATACCAGAAAACTACATTTACATTTCAATTGAGCTAGCAACTAAAGAAGACAAAAGACTAAATATACATTTCAAGAAAAACCTGTAAAAGATTCCCTGTATGTGATAAATGCACCTTAATAAACATATTCTCACATTTCTCAAACAGACATCCAATATCTACGGTGTTACAAATGTCTCAATTATTCAATGCATGTCTGGAGTTTTGTGAATAGACCATCGCCCCCGGTACAAGCTATTGCAAATTTGCCCCATTGATAAACAAATACCCCAAAACGGGTCTGGTAACCATTGCCTCTAGTCATCCACTCAAAACCCATCACATTTAATTAACCTATAACTTCAGTAGCTATCAGAAACACAAGCCTTCACACCTGGACAAATCAAACAACAGGAGCCAGACAGTTTAACAATTGTAACATTATGGTCACCCTTTTCCTCCCTGTTTTGTTTGGACTTTAATCAACAATCCATCAAGGAAAAATGCTTTGAAGCCATACAACTAAAACACTTTTAAAAGGAAAACAAAACTGCCAGCAAGGTGTGCAATCCAGAAAAGATCAAGAAGCCATTCTGCACCCAGCCCATGAGTAAAGGGCCCACACTCTGTAAAGGCTGCAAAACTGGACCAGTTTCCCTGCCGGCACTGGTGAGAAAACACTGCTGCAGCTAAATATGTACTAGGACTTTCTGTAGTAGCTCATTTTATATTGGGAAAGAGAATTTTTCTGTCATTTAGTTTTATAGTTTGTTGGTAGTTATTAAAGGAAGCCTTTCTGCTATTAATCACCTGAGTGTTGTGTCAATGCTTAAAGCAGTAGGTTTAAAAACCCACTTTTAAGTACAACATTGCACTTAGGGGGAAATTTGCCAGGTCAGCACCGGGTCCTGCCAGAACTGCATGTGAGCAATGAGCTCTAAACTCACCAACTGATCAAGGTGAGGTATGGCTAGAGCCTCTACTTGCATGTAGCCCCAGAGCCCTGAGGGTGAATTCTGATGCTGCTCACCTTCCTCCTTCCTACAGAATTCAGCAGCAGGGGAAAGGAGGGGAGGAGCAGCAGGGCAGCACTCACCACCTGAGCTCATAGGAAAGCAAAGGCTCTGGCCAAACCCTGTGTCCAGAGTTCACCTGCAATACAGCCAAGGTGGGGTACAGCTATACTACTGCATCCCCTCTGGATTTGCCCCTGAACTCAGATGAACACAAAAGAGGAACTAAAGCTACTTTGCATACTTATCCATAATTATTTTTTCCTGAAAGCCCAGTGTGAAGAATCCTGTGAAGTGCTGTGTGCCTTCTGCTTGATTACAATACATTCATCCTCTCACAGCAGGCACTCATGCTGTTGGTTCCTGATGCTGTAATCTTTACTCATGCAAGTAATTCCATTGACTTAAATGTCACTATGAGACAGAACCTATTTCATCTGCATGTACCTACCTACATGACATTTAACACCAGTTTTTGGCACTTACATAGTTGGGGATTCAGCATAGCTATCATACTCCCCTTCTGCTTAAGCTCAGGAGGATGCACTAATACTACATGGGTGCCTGGGGGAAAAAAATGCCTAGAGATACATATCACCAGGTGGTCTTGACATTTTAGTTGTAGAAAAATCACAATCAGCAGGTGATCAACTGAGGAAGAGGGTAAAGGCCCCTTTTGAGACCAGTAGTTATAGCACTTATCCATGGAGTGAGAGACCCAGGTTCCTATTCTAGCGTGGACTTAAGTTTGTATCTCCTGCTTCCCAACAAAGTGTTCTAATCCCATGCTTAGGCCATGAGCTAAACATTGCAAAGAGCACCCATTACTCCTATGGAAGCTGGCATGTGACTCCTTGCAAATTAATCACCTGAAGGATAAATAGGATTTAGCCCTGCATGCACAAGGAGGGTTTTCAACATGTCTCAAGAGAGAAAATCCTTTGTTTTCTAATTCAGATAAAGCAGTGGCTTTCAAATTTTCTGTGGAACCCTGTGGGTGATGGCAGAGCAGGCCAGGAGGCAGTGCATAGCCGTTATGGGCCTGATTAAAAATGTTTAACATATCACTGATGATTATACATACATACCTCTTGTTTCCTGGGATCCAAAATATCATAGGTTTTTGACTTGATGTTTGTAGCAATGATCTGGTAACGAGTATTGATTTTTTCAATCCCTTCTAGTTTTACATCTTGTAGCTCTGAAAGATCTGTCATGATATTACTTATATCTGAAATCTTTTCCAAGTGCTTACAGAATGTATCAAATTTTCCAAATATATAATTTTCACTAATGATAAAAGAGACAGTAGAGAGATTATCATAAAATATAAAAAATAACGTAAATATTTGTAAGAGTGATGGAAGGTGTCAACTTTAAAGGAACTTTTATAGAAGTGTTAAAGTACAGGTGTGGAACTAAAACACTGGGAAGCAAAGTGAATGAACACAGGGGTTATTACATCCTGATTGCTTTGTATAGTTCAGACACTTGAGTTCTAACAAAGAGGGATTCCAAAATGTTGCAAATTGCAGAAATACATTTTTAATGGCAACTGCTGGGAAGTTAAAAAGAGACCAGGGGCATCCCCTTTTGTTTCCTGGTGTACCCAAAATCTGAAACCACTGCCTGACAGTGCAGCAGCATTTCTATTCTGGCAGCAGCGAGGGAGTCGCTTAATTTTACAGCTCATTATAATCTCCCTGATTCCTTCTAAACTCTTCATTGCACAGGTGTTAAAACCCATCTTTCCTTTTTTTAATGGTCTTGATGTTTCACTAATTCAGCCATTTTTTCTTCTGCAATTCTGCTGTCTGTTAGCTGCTCGTCTTAATGTAGCTCCTATTTTACAACTCTACAGACTATTTTCAATTCTAGCTAGAAACATTCATTCAGGCATGGAAACATTAACTCAGGTGAACAGCAACTCAAGTGTGAAAATAACTTCCAGTGAAGCACTAGTTGCATAGTCAGGATACTCAAGAAGGTTAGATTTTGTTTTATTAATTTGAAAGAGATATACATTCAGTTCTAATGACCACAGGACTAAAGAAACAACATCTCTGTGTTATTTTTGCCTAGTTTGTTATGTTTTTATTAGCATTAGTAAAGCTTAGCTTCCAGTTTCTTTTCACCTGGAGACAGGAGTGTTGTATTGTGTTATATGTGATGTGCCACACCACCTGCACCTTTTTTTTCAAAACTATTCTGGTTATCTGGGGGGGGGTGAGTGCGCACCCACCCGTGCAGGTAAGTCTGTGGGGGGAGGGGCAGGAGGAAGCAGATCGAGTCCCCAGCAATGAGGGAGGGAGTGGGGCAGGGGCCAAGGCAAGCAGGGCCCCAGCTGGACCAGGTAGCAGAACAACTGGAGCCCAGGAGGCTCGTCCAGAGATGCGTGGGGATCCCACCATTGCACGCACCCCAGCGGAGGCCGGGGGGAGATGCACCCCCCATCTGCATGTGGGGAGCAGGTGGCCATCACCGCGCGCCACACCCCGCTCCCCACTGCCGTTGCAGGTGCCCCAAGAGCCACGCAATGCCACAAGCATCTTGCCAGGGGCAGGCAGGAGGAGCAGCACAGCCCAGTGGCAGCAGGTACACAGCACGTGCCACTCCTAGGGCAGCTACAGCAGGGAGTAAAGCACAACATGCAGTGGCAGCTGCCCTCACCCATCACACAGACAGGGGGTTCACGTACCCCCTGGACCTCAGCTGGGGCGCACACAGCAGCGAGAGCAGCCCCCCCCAATACCCCTGGAC